ACACACACACACAGAGAGAGAGAGAGAGAGAGAGAGAGAGAGAGAGAGAGAGAGAGAGAGAGAGAGAGTCAGACACCAAAAACCTGGCGCACACAGCACACACTCAAGACAACCAAAAACGCATCGTCGGTCGCATGTAGGACAGCGTCACACTCGGTACAACTAAAACGCACGACTTACACCACATGAACTAAGCTTCACTCGGCGAATATTCCATCCTCCCGCGAAGTTCAAAAAATTAAATTTTCTTTTTGTCAAAGATCGCAATTGGCCAACTCCACCCTTCGCGAATTGTAAACAACGAAAACAAGTTCACTTGCACGCCCCATCCCGACAAGTGCGACCACCCTACGCCAACTCCACCATACCACCAGCAATACATCGGCCTCAACAGAATCGACCTCAACGCTGCATCAAATCCGAAATACGATTAGATTTTATACGACAAATTGCATTCCACTCTCGCCCACCTCCTGATCCCCATCACCGAAACGACCTCTCCACTCTTGCCCAGCTCTCAACCACTTCCACCGAAATTCACTCTCTCAGAGCCAAATGAACGCGCACTGAAATTCAAACAACGACAACAACCTCCTGAGCACACGTGTGCCGCGTAACGAGTCTTTCCATTTCGCCAAGAAAGGTACTGCAAGTCAAAACATGCAAGACGCAAGCCGATAACGCCCAGCAAGATCCTGAAAGTGATAACAAGCCCAAACATCTCCGCGGTTCCACGTTGTGGATTAGCCGATAGTCCAAGAGAAACCTACAACATGTCGGATCTAAAATCATACCGAAATGAACAGGAAAAACAAGTCGATAACGCCAAGAAAGATACTGAAGGTGAAACCACGCCGAAACATCTCAGCGGTACCTCGCTGTGGATAATCTGATCACTCAAAAGACACTAAAAATCTATCGGAAGAGACTTCCTTCTTCCGTCGACTGATTCAGGATGTGGAATCAGCAAGTCGACTTGCGGGTGGCGTTTCTATTTTTTTTTATTTTTCTTTTCTAGCGATTCACAAGTGGGAAGTCGACTTGTCGGCAGCGTTTCTATATTTTTTTTCTGAAGCGATTAAGGGCATACTCCACATTGCGATTTTTTCTACTAAGCTGTGGACGTACTTGCAGTCAGATTCATCCTGCTCCGGCCGTAATTGCAGTCAGATGCATTTACGAAAGCGCTAGCATGAGTATGCCCTAGCAGGTTTACTACTACCGACTACTACTACCCCTTAACCATAATAAACCTCCACTTAAGGAAGGCCACGTCGTCCATTTGGTATTTTCTCTTCACCCGACCGTTCTCGTTTCCCCTGTTCCTTTTCTTTTTTGTCCTTGGCGGGAAAATGACATGCAAAAAAAAACACACATGCAAAGCCGACGACATACCACTGTCAAGACCTCTTACTCCCACAATCAAGACTATCGTCATTCCCACAATCCAGACCGCACGCTAATCACGAATGTATACAAGCTGCAAGGCCGGTCAGATACCGATCTACTATCCTACGTATACAAGCTGAGAGGCCTGATCACATACTGCGATACGATCGCGATACGCGGCATTGTGTGGAGAAAAGATTGGACCATCAGCGAACGGAACATCAACATCCAACGTCTTTCACGGGAGCAAAAACCAACACTATACGAGGGAACACTCAACCGACTACCTGACAACCTTGCACCTCTGGCTGCGGAGCCCTACTCCCTCCCTTGGACACCTCTGATGTACAAGTTTGTGACGGAAGATTTTCCTATAGTGAGAGGGTTTGAAGAGGAGGCAACAGTCCAATCCGAACCCAACAGGAAAAAACAAAAAAGCACGAAAACAACGACAACGACAACAACAACAACAAGAACCGACCGTCAACCCAACTCCCTCGACGCGCTGGCTCTGACTACTCTGGTAATGAATAATCCCTCCCTCGGACTCCCGTCTGTAACATACACCTTCTCGACTGTGGACATTCCTACACTAGGGATTCAAAGAGCTTACCGTCGAAAATCACGAAAAAACTGGAAAGAAAAAAGCTAGCGAGAGTGTAAACAAAAACAACAACAACCGTCAACCGTCAACAAAGTCGCTTGTAGCTCTGGCTACTTGCACTGTAGCGACTCTTCCCTCCATTGGGTTTCCTATAATGTACAGCTTTGGGACCGTAGACAGTGCAGTGACGTCCCTTTGAGGACGCTCTCCTTCATCCTCCACCTCCTCGCCTTCATCGAAACCAAGCTACTACTATTAACACTACCTCGAGCACATCCGTTTGATGATGACCGGACGCCAAACGCCCAAGCAGATGTAGCACCTTCAGTGCCATCGCGAGTGCACTTCTTGTGAATCTGTCACACATCTCTTCTCACCTCATGCTAGAGCACAACGCGCCTTCAAATCACTCTGAGGAGGCCGCGAGGTCCACCCAGCCACACCCTGAAGATCCTCCCCCATCCACACCCTGAACATCCTCCACCCTTCGTCCTAACCCTCAGCACCCACCTCCCTTCGCGTCCCACGTACCCTCTCCATACTCTCAATGGCGGAAGGAGGAAGTCTAACGACATCGTTTCCAGTCCTTTTCATCCTCGGTACGCGTCCACGAATTGCCAGGAAGCACTTCCACTGCGTCTCGTGAACTGAGACGAACCTCTTAACCCCGTTTCACCCCTCCTCTTTCCAATGGCTCCCCTGCCCTAAATTACCACTCTCTCCCCGCTTTACTGGCCAGCGGATCCCCTGCCCTCAGTGCCCTGTCCACTTCCTTGGCCTGCATCCCCCTGCCCTCCGCGGGTTGCCGACCCACCCGATGTCCCCGTCGTCGATGATGCTGATCCTCCGCCTTGCCCTATGGTGCCGCTCCTACCAGCCGTCCCCGTCGTCCCCGTCGTTGACCCTCCTCCTCGCCCTGCAGATGAGCCACCCGCCCCTCCAGCTCCTCCTTGCCCTGCAGACGTGCCACCCGCCCCGCCGGATGTTGATGTTCCGCCTTGCCCTGAGGTACCTTTACTACCACTCGTCCCCGTCGTTGATCCTCCTCCTTGCCCGGCGGCTGAGCCACTCGTGCCCGGAGCTCCTCCTTGCCCTGCAGATGTGCCGCTCGCCCCCCCGGACGTTGATCCTCCGCCTTGCCCCCCGGAGGTACCGCTCCTACCAGCCGTCCCCGTCGTTGATCCTCCTCCTTGCCCTGCGCTGCCTGTCGTCCCTGCCGTGCCGGACGTCGATCCTCCCATCCCAGTGTGAACACCCTGGCGCTCTCCTTCACGGCCTTTTCCTCCCGCCCTGCTCTCAACTTCCGTAGGCGGGATTATCAATGCGTCCTCGCTAGATATCGAATCCGCGTCCTGAATACCATTGACCTCCCGCAGCCTCGACTTGGGCACACCGAACTTCTCCGCAATGCTGTCCAGCGTGTCACCCCTCTTCACTTCGTACACATGCGGAATCCACAGAACCTGACCCGCACTCAACTTCTTAAAGCCCTCAATATCGTTGACTTCAATCAGAAAACGGCGGGGGACGTCAAACTTTTCCGCGATACCTTCCAGCGTATCACCATCTTTCACAGTGTAGTAAACGTTGTAGTTCCCTCTCTCCCCCGACTTCGCCTCTCTCTGTCCCTCTCCTGAGGGAAAGAACGTGCTCAACTTCGATCTAAACCACCGTATGAAGCGCAACGGGTTGCTGCCGTCCCCCTCCTCGCTACCTCCAGACGACGTTCTCCTGCCCTCATCACCTTCAGATCTCGCTTCCGCCAGCCAAAATGGCCTAGAACGGGACTTCCTGCTCGCCCTCGTGGAACCAGATCCCACCTTGCTCGGCCTTGTGGAACCGAGTCCCACCTTCAACGGGACACCGCTGCGAGCAGCACATAGATGCCGATCTGCCCGACTGATGTCAGGTTCAGATAGCGAAGGAGCTGCTCGAGCCGACGCTCCTCTGCCACTCCGGGATAGCAACCATGTCCGCACTCTCCTTGCGCGGGCACCAGATCCTGCATCTCGCCGCTCACAATCAATCACACCGGGTGGTGCAATCGAATGGAGGCTGCCTGCGCTCGTCAATGCCATGGCCATTCCTGTTGATCGGTGTTCACTATCACAACGGCTTGCACACAGACTGGAGCGATCCCGGCATCAAATCACTGCGCAGAACACCAGACTCTGACTCCGGCGATCAGTTGCTTCCCCTTCTGCGCGCCCCCAGTTTACCGCAGCCGCCTCCCTGCGATACGTTGCAGTGGCGATCACTGCATGCAAGATCCCTACGTAAGATCGTTACGTCGCTACGTCTCTCCGTTGTTTCAGAACGACATACACTCACGAGCCGAAGGCATCGCAATTTATCCGAAAATTTACGGCAACAGTGGCTGCCGATCCATGACGCCCAGACCAGTAAGCGTACGGCTAAGGGCCTAGTTGCACTACATCCGCAAACATTATGAATGAATGCATCTGAACTCAAGGTTGCCCAGATGCACTCAAAATGTTGGCGAATGGAGAGGTGGGCAACTAGGCCCTAAGTAAGCAGGTGTGACGCCCAGTAAGAGGATGACTAAGGAAGCGCGGTTTTTGCCCGAAAGAGCGGCCAGGTTCATTCATGTTTTGTTTACTCGGCCCGACGTAGCGCTGACGATGACGTGGGCCTACCTGTGACGACCCTTGCACGGGGGCAGTACGACTAAGGGCGTAGTAGCAATTACTCGCCATCCGCCAACATTATGAATGAATGCATCTGAACTCATTGTTGCCCAGATGCACTCAAAATGTTGGCGGATGTAGAGTAATATCCTCGTTCATACACCACTTGAACTCGAGGTTTGATGGAAATTCTTCGTTCCACACCTTCCCAATGACCCCTCCGTAATGTTTTCACTTTGAATTCCTGCTCTCAAGTGTGCATACTTGAAACTCAAGTGCCGCTGGGGCAAAATCGCACTTGCTCGAGGTACCTCCGGGAGTTACCTTGAGTTCAAGTCCCAGCGAATACAGCCAGCACTCCAAGTGGGCCCTTTTTTCGGCTTTTCTTTTTTTCTAGCACGCTATCCTGGTCCAGGATTGGTCAAGCCGTGGAGTTCGGTTTCAAGTGCAGCCTGTTCAAGGGTTTCCTCAAGAGTACATGGAACCAGAAATTGAGTAAGTGTAAATTAATCACAATTTCTCACTTAGTGTGCACTTGAAACTCAAAGTATTTTCAAGTGGTGTCGAACGAGGCTCTAAGCATGGGGCAGGGTGTGTGGGTGTGCAAAACCCATACTAAGGGCCTTGTTTGACACCACTTGAAAAGAGTTTCAAGGGCACCCTAACTCATGGAAGGTGATTAATTTCCCCTAACTTGTTTTTTCGTTCCACAACCGCTTGACGAAACCCTTGAGATGGCCTTCCTTGAAACTGAAGTGCTGACGTCATTGCACCACGAACAGTGGTGATTGGTGGAAAAAAAAAGAAAACATGAAAAAGGTCCGTATATTACTCGTTTTGAAGGGTGAAACCCTTGCGCCCCAAGTGACCTCCCGAGGCACCCTTGGGATTTTCCTCGATTTGCCTGGGCCGCACTTCCGTTTCAAGGGCGGACACTTGGCCGCGGGGATGTGGAAACGATTAGCGACTTCAAGGGTGGGTGATTAGGGCGGGGTCGAACTAGCTTCCTTAAAAAACAGCAATTTCCAAGTGGTGTCGAACGAGGCCCTAAGGGAATCGCCACAAGGTGTGAGAAACGCTGGGCTACTATCTTGGTTGTAATTGATGGATACTATCTCTTCCACCTTCTAATCTGTCTAATCCCCCTCTCCTCTCTTAGTCCATTGGCTACGAGACATTGTATCATACATGATTATTGGAGACATTCTTCGGTGTTGAGTTACCTTTTATTTCGACATCTGACGAGTATCCTACAGACTGGATTCATTACAATTTGGTATCAGAGCTTACCCTATTCGCCGTGATCTGATGTCAGGCGCCACGTGGTGCCCAGGGAAGTGGGAGGTGTCGTGCATGAATTGAAAGAAACACGTTTATTAAAGTGCGCGATTATTATCGCGAGACTAAACATTAACTGCCCCGCGCACGCATATGCTCCCTTGAAGATGTTAATGTGGATACCTTGAAGAGAAGACGGCGACATTGCTTACGTGGCGCCTTGTTGTTGACCTGGTGATCAGATAGCAGTGAGAGCATCGTTGGCTGCAGGCTGACGTGACGCTGATGGAAGAGAGAGAGAGAGTAGGGTATCGCGACTACTGACGTGGCGCGCTGCCTACGTGGCATGGCGCAGGGGTGCTAATGTGACATCCTAGGATTGGCAAGGTATTGTCTGACGTGGCACCTACCTGTGTCTCGACTGACCTGCTAACGTGGCGCTCCACACTCCAGCGGTACTTCGATCTGACGTGGCATACCAGTGGTGGATGATCCAGCTATTGGCGCGTTGCTGGCGAGGCACTCTTCTTTACAGCCTACGGGCCATTTAACGCTGAGGTGGCAACGTCGTAGAGGTGTTGCATTGGCATGTCAGGGTGACATGTGGCAGCGGGCGTGCCTGGCCGCTAGTGAGAAGTTGATACTTGCATTTGTGTCCTGGCAAGCAGTACAACTTCACGATTGGCTATAGTGCCACGCGGTAGGCTTTGTGCCTGACCGCATTGTTTTTTGCAGATGGTGCAGCCGAAGAGGAAAGGATCTTGACAATTGATTGTTGTTGTTATGTTGGCCCACTTACTCACTTGTCTTGGTTGTTCTATGGTTGTCGTGCATACTGACCTTTGATGTTGTGTCTTGATCACAATGGTGGTGGTTGCGGTTCCTGTGCATTTTCATTAGGACATCTTCACACATAGGACAAACAACAAAAGTTAGAAATAGGAGTAAATATAAATTTGCTCCTTCATTATTTTTCATTATTTATTTCTTGCTGTAGGAGATTGAAATTGAGTGTGGTCGTGAAATTTATTATTGTCGTATAATTATTTATTGCGCGACGAACACATATTGCGAAAATATCTTTCATCTGGAAATGTTTGAGTGTCTCCATTCTCACGAGATTCATACCTCTTTTCTTATATCCCATCACTCTCACACTGTTTGCTAATGAAGAAAAAAGGGGGTTGTGGACACGTGATCAGATAGATGAACGACGATAATTTATGTTGACTAGTCTTTGTACTGTGTTCGTTGAAGTACAAAATACTGACCCCGAAGTTGGACAGCATGTAAGCACCATGTTCGATCCGCGCGCTACAGAAACCGAATTACATCAAGTTGATATTGTTGCCCAGATAATGAAGGTCAGAAAAAGCTTCAAAAAAGGTAAAGGGAACTGTTGATCACGCGCGAATGGCACTTGATCAATATGTGGCAGAGCATATGCGAAGATCATTAAACAGGGAGCGACCAAAAAAGAAAGAAAGGAAGAAGTGGGATAACCGAACTGTTTGAGGAAATAATAGAGGAAAAAATAATACAATTGGACGATGCAGTGAATGAAGAGAGAAGAAAAACAGAAGAATGCTAAAAAATGAAAATATAAAAAGCACAGTAAAAAAAAAAAGTAGAGGAGATCACACGACGGTCTAAATTCGAGGGAACAGAGACCGACCTTGCATCTATTTTGAATAATATGATGGCTTATCTCGCCCACCTCGAAATGAAGATAAACAGTAACACCGCCGCATTGCAGACGGTGACCAGACTCGTTAAGGGAAAGGATAAGGTGGTGTATGAGGAGGAGGACCAAGGGGGAAGAGAAGAGAGAACCCTAGGAGAAACTAATGAAAGATGATATGAAAACAACGAGGTTGACGTCAGAGACTCTCGAAAGTTTCGAGAAACTGGTGGAAAAAAATGAAGAACCCGCCACGTTGTGTAGCACACCGAACATGTTTGGAGCTTTTCCGAACGTCCGAACATGTTCGGTCGTTAGGCCAAACGCCACCCGAACATGTTCGGCTGAACATACTAAAAAAAAATAAAAATAAAAAAAATTGGTTTTTTACTTTTAACTTGAAGTTTGGTTACGAATTTGAGCATACCTCCAAGGCAAAAGTTGTTTGTATTATTATTTTACATCACATATATTTTTGTCAGATTTTTTAGAGAACTTTTTTTTTTTTTTTTTTTTTTTTTTATGTTCGCGTTCGGAGAGTTTCGGCGCTCATTCGCGTTCGGTCCCAAAAGGAAACAAAAGGTAGAGATGAAATAACATCTTGCTTATAATGGAAAGCAAGGAGGACATTTGTTACTCTGGATTGTGGAGATCCAGACTTATTGTACTACTACACCGGTAGAGCCAGATAGCCAACTGGCTTTTATAACCTCATGTTTGGGTGGTGTAGTAAAGGAATGGGTGTTGTCTAAAGCCAACGTTGCTGACTTCAAAGACATTGGGGAGTGGCCCAAAACAATGACCCTCAGGGAATTTCTCCAAAAGATCAAGGAGAGATTCCTTGACAAAATGACGGTCGATAAGGTCTTTGATGAGCTCACTACCACAGGGAAAAAACTTTGGACGACTGTCGATACGTTGTCTTGTGAAGTTGATCGTTTGGTGCACGTACGTGGTTTGAACTTGCAAGGTAATTAAGTGTTCTAGACCTTTTCACAGGCAGTGCCCGAACCCATCGATGGCATCTCGTCATCGAAGCGAAATCTGGTAAGTATAACTATAAACAATCTTGTGACCTCGCCTTACAAAGGGAGCAGATGACATCACAAATAAATGAAACTTACACATCTGTATTAAAGAATGGTTCGGTAGGTGGCTACACGAAGCGTGTTCTGTGGCGGCAAAAGTTACAGGACCATATGGTCGTTATTTTTTTACGACGACGCGATGGAGTAACTACACCTTAAAGAGGTCGAGGGAGGAGTAGGTCGTAGCAATGAGTTAAGAAAGGGTGACGTTACCAGTTCTTGGAGTAAGAATAAGAGACCACGCTCCTTTCCTAAGCACCCCGACATTGCAGTCATCAAACCTTGGGAAAAGAGGAAACTGTCTCCCGAAGAGTGGTAGGACCGAGTGAACATTAGGCAGTGCCTTAAGTGAGGCAATGCAAGGCACATCATAGCATGGCACCCACTCATTTAGAACCCAAAAGGGAGCAACTAGTAGGAGTAGCATTTGCTCCTACTGAGTTGAGGGATTTAGTTGAAGGTAAAGCATTAATCACCCCTTTGAATTCCTCGACTCATATAGTAGAGGATGACTCTTCTTCGGCCCGTCGTCTTGAACATCCAGACATTGTCTTATG